AAGAGCCTTAAATTGTGAGGACAGAAAGTGCAAACCCCTGAGTGAGTTACTGGGTATTAGTGTCACACCTAATCCCTTATTTCTCAGATTCATGTGTTCTACCAATTAGGGGAAGCAGCACTATGTTCTGGGTGTTTGTTTAAGGTATATAATGAGTCCTGAAGGATCGCACCCGTGCTTACAGGACTGCATCTCCCAGCTGGTTTCTCTTCCGGGGTGTTGTTTCATTGCTCTGCGAGGCTAACAGCCTCGTGAGGGTTGTTATGTGGTAAAACCAGTGGCCTTCTAATGAACGCACCCTCTTTGACCTGGAGTGAATTCCTTTATTCAAAGTAATGTCATGAGGGGTTCCATATTTGTAGATCAGACATTCCATGAACTCTTGAACAGTAGTGCCGGGTGTGGTTCTGTGTGGTAAGAAAGGTAAATCATAGCAGAACCAGATACCAATCCTAGTCATAGTGAACTGCGGCCCTTTCTAGGAGAGAAAGGGTCTGATGTACACAACTGGTCTCCAAGTGGCTGGTTTGGTCTTTTCAGGGGGTGCTACTGTGTAAGATCTCCTTTGCAGACAGGTTAGACACACTGCCCGGGCAGTAGCTAGACCTGCTTTGATGAGGGTCTCACATTGGGGGCCAGTTTAGCCTACATCTCTGTCATCGTGGCTCCTCCTTGGTGAGAAGCCCAAACTGGGGCAGCCAGTTTAGTCTACATCTCTGTCTTCATGGCCCCTCCTTTTGTGAGCCCCCTGCATAGCACTGGGATGGCCAAGACCAATGTCCAGCTGACATCTGCTGGTTAAGTCACCCTATGCACTTTTGGTTGGCTAGTGTGCCCTGGGAAGTACTTGTTCCCTTCCTGTGCCCTGGCCCCCCGACTGAGTATTGTTCTGGAGGGCGGATGGGGAAAAGACCAGAGGAGAGCGTCTTACCTTCCTGCGACAACTGCACCACAATGGACACTTCTGTAAGACTCTTTCCACTCTTTTCTGTGAAGTTCATGTAGGGTTCATGGGATGGAGTTTATAGGATGATATGGACTTTCCCCATTTCGACTGTACCCTGTTCTTCACACCCTGTCCTGTCCTTGGAGCTTTCTCTGGCCTTCGCTAATTCTTCAATGATTCTTCCCAAACTATTCATATTGGGTATCCCCCATGAAGAAGGGCTATGTCTCCTCTTTCCCTGTAAGCACCTGTCTCTCCTCAGATTTGGGCCAGATTTTTGCTCTGTGAATCAGCTCCCTGATATGTATATTATATATATATATATCAGGGATATATATATTTATATATAATAAATATACATATATAATTATATATATAATTATAATATATTATATATTATATATATTATATATAATACACACATATATATTATATATATAATATATATTTATATTATTATGTGTGTATATATATACATATATATAAAAGCAATATTTTTCCAGTTTATTATACATCCCAAAACAGAAATAGAAGTTCTCCACTTCTGAGCTTTTAAATTTTGCTGATGTCCTCACCAGAGTATTTTTTTCAACCTGGTAGGTGTTGTATCCTGTGGGCTCTCCCAAGGCACGTTAAGTCAGTTGGTGGGTGTTCTTTTCTCATTCAATAGATTAGCCTCCGTATCTTTTCCACCCCAGTCTGCTTTCTTATTCTGGAATTGTCTAAGCTTCTGAGAAACCCTGGCAGAGCATGAGGACTGACCCCTGGAACCACTGCGGCTGTGTTAAATCTTGTATCGTAGGAACGCACTCACGTATGAACAAACTCTCCCTTATCCAGCATATCCGTATGTATATGTTTCCTTTCTATCTAACATTTAGGCGGACTCTTCCAACTTCTGCGGTCATATACGTATTAGCCAGATTTTGTAGCTCTCTTAGCCTACGATCTCACCTCTCCCTCAGCAGACCCAACACGCTCCAGCTCAGAGCCTGGAGCCTGCTTTGGATTCTGGGTCTCCCTCTCTCTCTGCCCCTCCCCTGCTCATAATCTCTCTCTCAGAAATAAATAAACATTAAAAACAATTTTCTTCATAAATAACTTTTAAAAAAGAAGAGAGCAGAGGAAGGAGTTAAGCAAATATGTGGTCTCGCCTGGAGTCTAGCCTCCCCTCCCATCCCTTGGGGTGATACACAACACGAAGTACATCAGAGTCGGTCCAACCCAGAAGCAAGGGACTCAGCTCTCTGTACCTTTGTGTCAGTTGGTTGAGAAGGTGGCCTCCTTCCTCCTGTGGTGTGGGAGCTCCCTTTCAGCCAACACCGTACATTCTCAGCCTCCCCCAAGAAGGGGCAGCCGGGTACAGCTTGGTAACATGATAGCTGGTGGGCGCAAACATCAGCCTGGTCAGTGGGTCTGTGCGGGGTGCCCACAGCATTGGGGCAGTAGACGCTAATGATGCGGATTATGCGTAAATCACAACTCGGGGCTTAACAAAGTTACTCGTGAGCACATTTAACATTACTCAAAAGGTGTTATTTCTGAAAAAGCTTGCGAGCATAATCAGAGTTCTGGGAACTCTGTTAGGTAACTAGCACAGTGGTCCTAATGATGACACATATATTGAATATGTCTGTGAAAATGTGATTATAAAGTCATCTTACGAAATGGAAGAGTGGGAAAATCATATACAATATAATATTTTCTGCAATATGCTATTTAAAATGGATATGAGTGCTCCCATCACTCTTAGATATTTGAATAATCCTTAAAAGTTTATATATTTAGGGGCATCTGGGTGACTCAGTCGGTTAAGCATCTGACTCTTTATTTCAGCTCTGGTCATGATCTCACTGCTCATGAGTTCGAGCCCTGCATCAGGCTCTGCACTGACAGCACGGGACCTACTGGGGATTCTCTCTCTCCCTCTCTCTCTGCCCCTACTCCCCTTGCATGCATTCTCCCTCTCTCTCTCTCTCTCTCTCTCAAAATAAATAGACTTTGAAAAAAGTTGATGTATTTAAATGAGACACGACCTAATGATGCACTTGGTCATTTGAAAAATATCCATTAGTAAACTAAGGTGTTTAAACTAACGTGTTTAGGGGCGCCTGGGTGGCTCAGTCGGTTAAGTGTCCGACTTCAGCTCAGGTCATGATCTCGAGGTCCGTGAGTTCGAGCCCCGCGTCAGGCTCTGGGCTGATGGCTCAGAGCCTGGAGCCTGCTTCCGATTCTGTGTCTCCCTCTCTCTCTGCCCCTCCCCCATTCATGCTCTGTCTCTCTCTGTCCCCAAAATAAATAAACGTTAAAAAAATAAAATAAAATAAAACAAATAAACTAATGTGTTTAACACATTATATCTCTGACATATATCTCTATATCTCTGACATAGAATGGGACTAAACATTAATAATTTACCCTATTTCTACAATATAAAATTAAACAAATTTTTTTAATCTCCAAACTGTCATGTATTAAAGATTGAATTTCCCATGAGCTAGTTACACAGATATTATAAAATTTATTTAAAAATTTTTTTAATCCTTATTTATTTTCGAGACAGAGACAGAGTGTGAGCTGGGGAAGGAGCAGAGAGAGAGAGAGAGACACAGAATCCGAAGCAGGCTCCAGGCTCTGAGCTGTCAGCCCAGAGCCCGACGCGGGGCTGGAACTCACTGACTGCGAGATCATGACCTGAGCCGAAGTCGGACGCTTAACCGACTGAGCCACCCAGGCGCCCAGATATTATAAAATTTAAAAAGAAATTCTCTGCATCTTTCTTTCCAGCTCAGAAACTTGTTGTATACTTGCAACATGGCTTGTTGACATCTGGCAGCAGCTGGATTTCCAACCTTCCCAACAACAGCCTGGGTTTCATTCTGGCCGATGCCGGTTATGACGTGTGGCTGGGGAACAGCCGAGGGACTACGTGGTCCAGGAAACACCTGTACCTGAAAACAAACTCCAAAGAATTCTGGGCCTTCAGGTACCAATAAACTCAAATAATGTTTCCTTTTGTTTGATAAGCGTATCGAACGTTTGGTTTGGTTTTTTAAATGAAATGAATTAGAATGCGGCTCTTTTCTCAGTCAGGTCTCTAAACAGACCATCAACGTGGATGCAAATTTTGGCTTGAAAATTAAAGAGTGCTTGTCTGATTTTAAGCGTGTTTCTCCTTTTTTAGTAGTGACCTTCCTTGGCCAACCCCACCCTTCCTTCAACCATTCTTTTGCTCCATTACACTTAGTGTATCTCCCTGTACATAGAATACACGAACACCCTCTTTATAAGACTATCTTAGGGAGGGGTGCCTGGGTGGCTCAGTCGGTTGGGCATCCGACTTCGGCTCAGGTCACGATCTCGCTGTCCGTGAGTTCGAGCCCCGTGTCGGGCTCTGTGCTGACAACTCAGAGCCTGGAACCTGCTTCAGATTCTGTGTCTTCCTCTCTTCTCTGCCCCTCCCCACTCATGCTCTGTCTCTCTATCTCTCAAAAATACCTAAACATTAAAAAAAAAAAATTTTTTTTAAAGACTATCTTGGGGCTATTTTATTTCCTTGACTTTGTGTTCTCACGGAAGTTTGTGTTAACAACCCATTAGTAGCAAGGGAATTTCAATGTTCTTTTTTCTTTTTTTGTCTTTTTTTTTTGTAGTTTTGATGAAATGGCTAAATACGACCTCCCCGCCTCCATTGACTTCATCGTGAAGCACACGGGACAAAAGGAAATATTTTATGTGGGCCATTCCCAGGGCACCACTATCGGTATGGTGCTAATGTTCCTTAAGGACTCTTGCACGGTCTGCAGGCATCCTTCTCCAGGGTGTGGGTGAACTTCCAGAGCTGCGAGGGAAGTAAAGGAGACCCGGAGGCAGGAATGCCACAGCAGCGCCTGGCAGCTTCCCCCCCCCCCTTCCCTTCTACCTTATCTTCTCTAGTCACAAACAATGGATTGTCAATAACATGTTGTTTGCGGTTTTGTTGGTTTCCAAGGGTACGAAAGTTGGCTACCCATCTGGAGATCATGACTACCTCTTGGGCTACAAATAGAAATTTCATACGACTCTTATTGTTTAAATGTAGCAAAGGACGTTGGGAGGGAGAGACTTGAAAGGGAGTCTTGAAGTTTATGTTTATGCATTCAGGGCGGATGAGACTTAAGATGTGCACAAGGGCGAGGAAGGTCATCACATGTTTAAAGACGACTAGAAAAGAGCTGCCCACAGGTCACGGCCGTCATACTTCTGGCTCATGCGTCACAGCTTCACTTTCAGGAAAGCAAATACATTCCCCAAGACCTAACATAATTCTCTTACGTGGTATGCTAAACTTTTGTACTTTCACCCTTTCCACTTTGGAAGTTACAAAGGCCATTTTATGATAGAAGCCAATATTAACCGAGTCTGTTCTAGGCTGAAAACTATCATTTTCTTATGAGAATAATCCATTTCCCGCTTTAAAAAATGTGTTGAGTAACAGTCTAATCCCATTTTCCACAGATCTGTTCTCTGATGTTAGTTAGCCATGGGTCAGTTATCCGGAACCAGGAATCCTGGAAAATCATGAAATAAGAAGCAAGTGGGCTACGTGTTACAGCTTATCGACTCATACTATGATATATAATTCTTTGGTTATTTGCCTTCTCGGAACTCAGAAAACAGAAAAGCTATAAAAACATTTAAGATGTGCAAATATGTAGCTTGATAAGATGACAAATAATTGTCATATTAGTGACTCTAAACTAACAATATAATATAAACCAGCATTCGGTATCCTCTGTACAAGAAGGCAAGGAACTTTTTAAATAAATTAAAAGTAGGGGCGCCTGGGTGGTGCAGTCGGTTAAGCGTCCGACTTCAACCAGGTCACGATCTCACGGTCCGTGAGTTCGAGCCCCGCGTCGGGCTCTGGGCTGATGGCTCAGAGCCTGGAGCCTGTTTCCGATTCTGTGTCTCCCTCTCTCTGTGCCCCTCGCCCGTTCATGCTCTGTCTCTCTCTGTCCCAAAAATAAATAAACGTTGAAAAAAAAATTTTTTTTTTAATAAAAAAAATAAATAAATTAAAAGTAAATATTAAACTTATGTGACATTTATTGACTCTGTCACCTAAAGTGTAAGATTCAAATACCGGAAAAATCAACTTAGCGTGTTTTCACCATTGCTACTTATACAAATGCTAAATGTTGTTTCTGGTTTTTAAACTACGTGTTAACAAGACTGTTTTATTGCTGACTTATCACAACTTATGATCTAGGTATTATTTTTAATACTAATAATCTGCATTATGTTGTGATTGATATGCATGTCTCATACTGGGTGATTGGTAAATGTTTGATAAGGGAATTAAGAAATGAGTGAGTCAACAAATAATCCAGTGAAGAAATGGGCAGAAGACATGAATAGACACTTCTCTAAAGAAGACATCCGGATGGCCAACAGGCACATGAAAAAATGCCCAACGTCCCTCCTCATCAGGAAAATCCAAATCAAAACCACACTGAGATACCACCTCACGCCGGTCAGAGTGACTAAAATGAACAAATCAGGAGACTACAGATGCTGGAGAGGATGTGGAGAAACGGGAACCCTCTTGCACTGTTGGTGGGAATGCAAACTGGTGCAGCCGCTCTGGAAAACAGTGTGGAGGTTCCTCAAAAAATTAAAAATAGATCTACCCTATGACCCAGCAATAGCACTGCTAGGAATTTACCCAAGGGATACAGGAGTGCTGATGCATAGGGGCACTTGTACCCCAATGTTGATAGCAGCACTTTCAACAATAGCCAAACTATGGAAAGAGCCTAAATGTCCATCAACTGATGAATGGATAAAAAAGTTGTGGTTTATATATACAATGGAATACTACTTGGCAATGAGAAAGAATGAAATCTGGCCATTTGCAGCAACGTGGATGGAACTGGAGGGTATTATGCTAAGTGAAATAAGTCAGGCAGAGAAAGACAGATACCGTATCTTTTCACTCCTATGTGGATCCTGATAAACTTAACAGAAGACCATGGGGGAGGGGAAGAGCAAAAAGTTACAGAGAGGGAGGGAGGCAAACCATAAGAGACTCTTAAATACTGAGAACAAACTGGCGGTTGATGGGGGGTGGGAGGGTGGGTGATGGGCATTGAGGAGGGCACCTGTTGGGATGAGCACTGGGTGTTGTATGGAAACCAATTTGACAATAAATTATATTTAATATAAAAAATTTTTAAAAATAAATAAAAAGAAAGGACTTCGCCTGGGTGGCTCAGTTGGTTAAGCACCTGACTTATGATCTCTGCTCAGGTCATGATCCCACAGTCCGTGAAATCGAGCCCCATTTTTGCCCTGCGCAGACAGCACAGAGCCCGCTTGGGGCTCTTTCTCCTCTCTCCTCCCTGACTCACACTCTCTGTCTCTCAAAATAAATAAACTTTAAAAAAGTATTTAAAAAAATAAAAGGACTTTAAGTCCATCAGAGTACTTACACCAGAGTACAAGCCTACATTTAGTAGTGGATTTAACTTAAATAAATAGAGCTAGCCAATTTCAATAGAAGTCATACTAGAGGAAGTGACCTACATTTTATTCAATGTTTTTATCTCAAAGTTAAAAGGATTACCCTCAAGAATGTTGTAGACTTAAAACCCTTAGCTAACACCATACTCAGTGGGGAAAAACAGAGTTTTCCCCTAAGATCAGGAGCGAGACAAGCATGTCCACTCTTAGGGGTGCCTGGGTGGCTCGATCAGTTAAGAGTCTGACTTCGGCTTAGGTCATGATCTCACGGTTGGTGAGTTCAAGCCCCGCATCAGGCTCTGTGCTGACAGCTCAGAGCCTGGAGCCTGCTTCGGATTCTGTGTCTCCCTCTCTTTCTGCCCCTCCCCAGCTCACACTCTGTCTGTCTCTCTCTCAAAAATAAACATTAAAAAAATTTTAAAAGAAAAAAAATGAGCGAGTCAGTTATTCAAAGTCTATTGGATTTACTCTTTAAAAATTGTTTTTTTTTTGAATCTTTATTTATTTTTGAGAGAGAGAGAAAGAAAGAAAGAGAGAGAGAGGACAGAGCAGGGAAGGGGCAGAAAGGGACGGAGACACAGAATCTACAACATGCTCCAGGCTCTGAGCTGTCAGCACAGATGACACAAGATCATGACCTGAACCAGAGTCAGATGCTTAACCACTGAGTCACCCAGGCGCCCCTGAATTTACTCTTGTTTGCCACGATGTCATTTATTACGATGGTAGTAACTGCATATGAGTAGTTAATCTCTGTCTTATTTTCTTTCAGCTTTCATAACATTTTCCACAATACCAAAGATAGCTGAAAAAGTCAAAATATTTTTTGCCTTAGCTCCAGTTTTTTTCTATTAAATACTCAAACAGCCCTTTAATCAAAATGGCATACAAGTGGAAGTCAGTGATAAAGGTATGTTATTCCTTTCCTCTACATAGTTGATAATCCAAATGACAATATTCTCTCCTTTCAAAACGAAAGGTCTTGGCTATGTGTGAATTTAATTTTGTGGTTTTATTTGCACTGGATTCTTGCTTTTGTTTCTACAAAGGAATAGGGTTTTACTTATAATACCTTTGGACATGTTATTATGAAGGAAAATCCAGTGGTCAACTTATCTCTACCTTGTGTTTCCAAGTTTTGCCCTTAATGTAAATGTTTTAAACTAATGTGAGATAATGCGTTTGATTATAAATATAGTGAACTCATCACACCATTTCTTGATTAATTATTTTGGTCTTCCAAATACAAATAAAGTAAATTTATTTTACAGGCTTTTGTTGGCAACAAAGCCTTCTTACCTAATACTTCATTTAAAAGATTTGTTGGTGCAAAGCTGTGTCCACTAAAGATTTTTGGCAAGATTTGCCGTGAGGTCTTGTTTTTGATGTATGGATGTGACCTGGAGAACTTAAATATGGTAAGAACAAGTTGAATTTGAAATGTATTTTGTCAGTTTTTAGAAAGCAGCTCGTAACAGTGCCTTGTGTGTTATTTTGTGATTTTCCCATATATACTGATAGTTAGATTCTCAGTCTTTCTGATTTTGTGACTGTACCAATATTCTGAAACTGATCAGCATTAGTATGTTGAGATAATTTTGCTTTCGCGTTTGTCTTGCTCTCTGTAAAGAACAGAGGGCAGCTGCTGTGATGGGTATCTTTACTGGTCTTTGCTTCTGGGTGTTAGTTTCCCAAAATTTCTTGTATTTGTCTTCTATCACTTGTTCGTCACAACTCCTACTCTTTTGTTTTTAAGTTCATTTACTTATTTTGAGAGCAAGAGACTACGAGTGGGGGGAAGGGCAGAGAGAGAGGACAGAGAGGATCCCAAGCAGGTTCCATGCTGTCAGCACAGAGCCCAACGTGAGGCTCGATCCCATGAACCGTGAGATCATGACCTCAGCCAACATCGAGAGCCAGACACTTAACTGACGGAGTCACCCAGGCCCTCCCACAGCTTCTACTCTTATATCTTGGTTCCTAACATTCCTTCCCTTTCTTGTTGCTCTCTTTGTAATTAGCATTAGTGCCCGCTAATTATCTTACATGCTCCTGGCATTTGTCAAAATTCCTGCAGTGGAAAACTGTTTCAGTGCTCAAGCCCCTATTACCGAGGCCCTATGGATTGGTTGTATCTACATTCTATTACAGATGTAGGCATTCACTCTAAGACTTTTTCAGCACATTAGATTTAAAAATCCAGATTTGGCAGGGGCAGTTGCAGCATTTAGACTAGTGGTTGGTTCCTGCACCTGTACGATTTAATAATTTCTCAGTGAGAACCAATCTATTCATTCAAAGAAAGAGAAGTTGTCAAGATGCCCATTCTTACCAACTTAGTCCATAGATTCAATGCAATCGCAGTCAAAGTCCCAGGAGGTTATTTTAAGGATATTGACAAACTGCTTCCAAAGTTTATAGAGAGAAGCAAAACTGAGAGTTACCAACACAGTATTGAAGGGAAAGACAAAGTTGAAGGACTGATACTACTCGACCTCAAGACTTATTATTAAGCTACAGTCACCTACAGTCATAGTGTGGAATGAGTGAGAGAAGAAACTACTAGATCAGTGGAAGAGAATAGAGTGCCCAGAAATAGAGCCCCATAAGTATCATCAACAGAGCTTTGACAGAGGAGAAAAGGCCATGCGATAGAAAAATGATAGTCTCTTCAACAAATGGTGTTGGAGTTGGAACAAGCAGATGTCTACGTGCAAAAAAAATTTCTAGACACAAACTTTACACCCTTCACAAAATTAACTTGAATTTGGATCATAGAGCTAAATGTGAGATGCAAAACTGTAAAACTCCTAGAAGATAACATGAGGAAAAAACCTAGATGGCCTTGGGCATGGTAATGACCACCAGGGTGCTACATGTGTTACAACTGATGAACATACATTGACACATCGTAAGTACCCCAAATCTATAGTTTACAGTAGGGCTCACTCTTGGCGTTCTACATTCTAACAAATGTATAATGACATGTATCTACCATTATGGTATCATATAGAATAGTTTCATTGCCCTAAAAATCCTTTGTATTTCACCGATTCATCCCTGCCTACTCAGCTCTTGGCAATCATTGATCTTTTCACTGTACCCACAGTTTTGTCTTTTCCTACTTGGAATCCCACAGTTTGTAACCCTTTCAGATTGTCTTCTTCCCCTTAGTAACACACATTTAAGGTTCCTCCATGTCTTTTCATGGGTTGGTAGCTCATTTATTTTTAGTGCTGAAAAATATTCTCATGTCTGGATGTATCACAGTTTACCTATGCACCTGCTAAAGGACATTTTGGTTCACATGTTGACAATTATGAATAAAGATGTTATAAACATCAGTGTGCAGATTTTGTGTGAATGTACATTTTCAACTCCTCTGGGTAAATACCAAGGAGTGTGATTGCTAGATTGTACGCTAAGGACTCTTTTTGCTTTATAAGAGACCCACCAATGTGTTTTCCAAAGTGGTTGTGCCATTTTGCGTTACCCTCAGCAATGAATGAGAATCCCCGCTTCTCCATATCCTCACCATTTGGTGCTCACAGTGTATTGGACTTTTATCATTTTAGCAGGTGTATAGTCATCTCTTACTGTTCTTTTGAATTGCATTTCCCTGATAACATATAATGTCGAGCATCTTTTCATGGTCATTTGCTATCTGTGTATCTATTTGATGAGGTACCTGTTAAAGTCTTGGCCCATTTTTAAATTGGGTTGTTTGTTTCCTCATTGTTGAGTTTGAAGAGTTCTTTGCATTTTGGGGGTAACAATCCTTTACAGATGTACCTTTTGCGAATATTGTCTTCCAGTCTGCGGCCTGTCGTCTAATTCTCTTGATACGGTCTTTTGCAAAGTAAAAAATTTTTTTTTTTAATTTTTTTTTTTCCCAACATTTATTTATTTTTGGGACAGAGAGAGACAGAGCATGAACGGGGGAGGGGCAGAGAGAGAGGGAGACACAGAATCGGAAACAGGCTCCAGGCTCCGAGCCATCAGCCCAGAGCCTGACGCGGGGCTCGAACTCACAGACCGCGAGATCGTGACCTGGCTGAAGTCGGACGCTTAACCAACTGCGCCACCCAAGCGCCCCATGCAAAGTAAAAATTTTTAATCTTATTGAAGGCCAGCTTGTCAGTTATTTTCTTTCACAGATTGTGCCTCTGGTATTGTATCTAAAAAGTCATCACTAAACTCAAAGCCAGCTAGATTCTCTCTGCTATGTTACCTCCTTGGAGTTTTATAGTTTTGAGTTTGACATTTAGGTGTGTATTCCATTTTGACTCCTTTCACTCTTGTGAAGGGTGTAAGGTCTGTGTCTAGATTCTTTTTGTTTTTTTCTTTTTGCATGTGGCTATCTAGGTGTTCCAACACCATTTATTGAGGAGATTGTTGTGTCTCTATTGCATTGTTTTTTTTTTTTTTTCTCCTTTGTCAAAGATTAGTTGACTCTATTTATGGGGGTCTATTTTGGGGCTCTCTGTTCCATCTATGGATCTCTTTGTCCATTCTTTCACCAATACCACACTGTCTTGATCACTGTCGCTTTGTAGGAAGTCTTAAAGTCAATTAGAGTCAGTCCTCCAACCTTCTTCTTCCCTCACAATATTGTGTTGGCTATTCTGGGTCTTCTGCTTCTCCATCTGAACTTTAGAAGCGTCTGGGGGTTGTTGATTTCCTTAAAATAACATGCTGAGACGTTGATAGGATAACATTGACGTTATATGTCTTGGTCACTGACTGAGGTTCCCAGGGACCCTGTAGGCAATGCAAACCTAGGTTGACATGAAGGCTGCTCTATTTGTGGTCGCTTCATTTTTGAGTTGTGTGAAACTTTGGGACCCCAGTTTGTCACAGAGAGAGTTTCTTATTAAATCTCCCAACTGCCTTTGGCAGGCCCTGGGCTGATTTTTGTTTTCTTCAACTAGCTAAGTTCTCAGAATGAAACTTCAGATCCTCTAAGGCTGGCAAAGAACTTGAAGGAAAACTGGCTTCAGTACTTTGCTTTTTTGAGGGGTCTTTGGTTTTTTTCTTGTCTATTTTTCCTGGAAAATTTTAATTTAATTTAACTTAATTTAATTTAATTTTTTAAGTCTATTTATTCATTTTGAGAGAGAGAGAGAGCATGCACGAGTGGGGGAGGGGCAGAAAGAGAGAGGCAGAGAGAGACAGAATCCCAAGCAGGCTCCACACTGTCAGCACAGAGCCTGATGTGAGGCTCGAACCCACAAACCATGAGAACACGACCTGAGCTGAAACCAAGAGTAAGATGCTTAACCAACTGAGCCACCCCGGTGCCCCCTGGTAACTTCTTCCTATATTTTCTGTTCTTTTGCCTTCAAAAAGGATGTATATCTATGTGAGTTCCAAGAGTTCTGAATGTTTTCCATATGGGATGACGGACTATGTAATTTAGAAATCTCATAATAGCTTCTACATTAATGTAAAAATTACACATGTAGTAAGTACATTTATGTATTTAGTGGAATATAATTTAATCTTTTGTTTATATTATTTGTTTAAAAATAACTTTACATTTTCTTACAATTATTTACTTTAATAAATATCAAAGATTATGTTCTCTATGATTGGGCTAAGCATAAAAATAATTTTTTAACCCCTCAGAGTCGCGTGGATGTGTACATGTCACATAACCCAGCAGGGACATCTGTTCAAAACATGCTTCACTGGAGTCAGGTATAACTTTTAAAGTGCATTTTAGTACGATTTTAATCTTTACTACTCTTGGTTTATCCCCCTCATTCTCGGAATCATGCCATTGCCATAGGATGAAAAATTTGGAAGGATAAAATGAAACTTACATATTCGTGTAATTCTTCATAGATTATAATATGTTAATATCATAATCTATCCGGCCCTCTAACCTAAGCAACAATCAGAGCAATATAATTATTTTCTGTTTTACAAATAAGAAAATGTTAATAATTCAGAATAATAGACTAGGAATCATCTAGGTCATGCCCCTCATTTGACTTGCCCCAAAATTCAAGGCTACTCCTTTAAAAAAAAAAAAAAAACCTAAGACGAGCACACAGGTGTCCCAATGTCTAGTCTGTCACTGGACTACACTTTCTCCTCTGTGAAACTGTGAAGTCCATGAGGGCCGTGAGCCAGTTTTGTTCACTTTTGTATTTGCAAGGCTGAGAGTTCTGGGGAAATAGCAGACACTTAAGAATGTTTGTTGAATGCATATTGGCGAAGAAAAAAAATCCAGTGTGAGTATCATGTCAATGTTGAGAGCCAGGATGAGATTCTAGAAAGAACACTGTACTTGAGATCAAAACACCAGATGTTGAGTCCTTTCTCTGAACTTTACTGGCAGTGAGAGTCTGAGCAAGCTCATTTAATCTCTATGAATTCAGTTTCCTTCATTTTAAAAATGGAGTTAATAATAATGCTCTGACCTAACAAAAATATTATGAGAGTTAAACAGGGCGATGATTATGAGTGTTATTTAAACTTAATAAACACCGATGAATTTAAAGTATTGTTGAGATAGGGGCGCCAGGTGGCTAAGTCGGGTAAGCATCCAGCTTTGGCCCAGGTCATGATCTCACGGTTCGTGAGTTCAAAGCCCCACAGAGCTATCAGCACAGAGGCACCTGGGTGGCTGAATCAGTTAAGTGTCTGACTCTTGATTTTGGCTCAGGTCATGATCTCACAGTTTATGGATTCTAGCCTGGGATTCTCTCTCTCTCCTTCTCTCTCAGCCCCTCCCTTGCTTGCTCACTCTGTCTCTCTCTCTCTCTCTCTCAAAATAAATAAATAAACTTTAAAAAAAAAGTTTCATTGAGATATTGGTTAAGGGCTTTCTTATTTAAAAATGTTTAAATCTAGGGGCACCTGAGTGGCTCAGTCAGTTGAGTGCCCAACTTCGGCCCTGCTTGTGATCTCTCAGTTTGTGGGGTCGGGCTCTGTGCTGACAGCTCAGAGCCTGGAGCCTGCTTCAGATTCTGTGTCTCCCTCTCTCTCTGTCCCTCCCTGCTCACACTCTGTCTCTCTCTGTCTCTTGAAAATGAATAAATGTTTAAAAAAAATTTTTACTGTTTTAATCTGTTCAGTGATTGCTTTTGGGGTAAATTATTAAAAATCTTCAGCTTACCGTTGGATTTAGCTCATTGCTGATGATAGCCAGGGCAGGAAATAGAAGCAACCTTTGCGTGCATATTGAGCACCTAGTATGTGCCCTATGTTGTTCTACGCTCATTGTACTTACCAGTGAACAAACTAAGTATCCCTGTCCTCCTTAAGCTCACATTCTAGCAGTAGATATACAGACAGTAACCAAGAAGCAAAGCAAGTAAGTACATCATCAAAACTTAAGAAGGGGCTAGAAGCTATGGAAAAATAAAGGGGGGAAAGGAGGATAAAGAGATGAGGCATACAGGGCAGGGGATTGTGTTTTTGAACAGAGACACAGGCCAGCCTCAATGAGATGGTGACATGTGAGAAAAGATTTAAAGGCGCTGAGAAAGTTAGCAACGTGAACAACTCGGGAAGAGCATTCCGTACAGACAGAATAGCCGGTATACAGGCTGTTAGTCGGGAGCATTTCTGAGAGTCACGGCTACAAGGTCCCTCCAGCTGATGTCAGTGATTAAGGGAGGGAGGAGTAGGAAAAGGGGGCAGAAATGGAATAGAGTCAGAAAGAAACAAGAGCGCGCCATTGTTAGGACTCTGGCTTTCTAGCTCAAGTGAGTAGCCCCTGCAGGGTTTTGAGCAGGGAGGGGACATGATCTAATGTACATTTTGGGGGCGCCTGGCTGGCTCACCTGGCACAGTGTGCGGCTCTTGATCTCAGGGTCGTGAGTTTGAGCCCCACGTTGGGGGTAGAGTTTACTTGAAAAAAAAGAAAGGAATACTTTGGGTGCCATGTTGGATAGGCTCAAGTGGGGCAAGAGTGGAAGCCGTGAGAAAGTTAGTAGATTACTACTGTAACCCAAATAAGAATTGGTGATGGCCTGCACTGATGTGTTCCCAGGAAGGGTGGTAAAGAGGGTTGGATTCTGAATTTGCATGCGTTTTGTAAACACGCAGCCAAGGACATTTAATGATGGATTCTACGCGAGGAGAGAGAGGAGAGTCTTGGATAACTCCAGAGGTCCTGGCCTAAGCAACAGAACGATCCAATTGCCATTAAAGAAGGTTGGGAGGTTTGGGGGTGGAGTGGGTTTGGAGGAAAGATACGATGTTGTAGTTTGGAGATGTTAAGTGTGAGACATCCGAATGATTAATCTGAAGAAGCAGTTGCATACAGGAGTCTAGGATTTAGAAGAGGCTCACAGAAGAAGACGGACGTTTTGAACACGGACGCCATTGAAAGCCAAGAGACCGGATGAGAACACGGAGTGAGTACAGACAGGGAGAGGGGAAGCAAGGCTGGAGGGCTGAGACATGGAAAGACTCAGAGGTCAGGAAGCAGAGGCTGGATGAATATGCCAAAGAGACAAAAAAAGGAGTAGTGAGAGAAAAATGAAAATCAAGAAATGATGGTATTGTAAAAGCCGAGTGAAAAAAAGTTCTCAACGATAGAAATGAACAGCTGTCAAGTGCTGCTCATAGGTGAAATGGGAAAACTTCTCCGAATTGACCAAAGTTCTACAAACGTTAAGGTCGTAAATAACCCTGGCCATTTTGGCGGCAGGAAAGAGCTTCAGGGGAAGCAGTGTTCTCGGGGAAATCAGGTGGTCGAGACGACAAGGAGGTGAGGGAGCCCATCAGAAATGGGTTTTAAGGTACAGGCTGATGACGAATTCCCGATGGTAGAGAGGCCTTTAGAGCTGGGGGGAATTAGAATGAGACAAGATGTGGGGGCAGGGGGTGTATGGAGACCTGTCAGGTGTAGAATCCCAGAAAAAATAGTAACCCAAGAGTCTGAACCTCCTTGCAGTGAAGACATTGTCAGGGGGAAAAAATGGGCATGATCAGATTAGACCTAGTAAGTTCAAAGCAGGTAGTGGTGGTGAGGCTGCAAGCATGGAGGGTGAAGCGAGGGATGGCTTCTGGCCCATTCTTTCGAGCGCTGTTGTTTGAAGCAAGGTGTTTAGGAAAGTATCACTTTAGCCCTAGTGCACTTAGTCCTAGACGCTCACTTTTGACCTCTGTGGATGAAATGGGATTTCTTGGGAAGCCTGACATTGTCCCCAAGCACACCGGCCCCCTTTAATAAGGTAGCAGACGTCGGGGGAAACATGCATTTATATGAAGATGATAGGATCATATTCTGTACATCCCCTGTCCCCCGTCTCCTACCTCTTCCATTTCTTGCCCTTTACGAGGGAAGGGAGAAGCAAAGAAGTCTACCTGCGTATGAACCAACAGACAATACTCAACGCACACCTCACGCTATCCCCTGCCGCGCTAATAAACACGAGTGTAATCTTACTTTAAACATTTTTTCTTTCAGCTTTTTAATTCTAGTCGCTTGAGAGCTTTTGATTGGGGCAGTCCTGTTCTGAACTGGATGCATTTTAATCAGGTACATAATTATGTCTAAGCTAAAAACTATCTCTGGGCTCAGTTCAGATGACGTTGCAATAGATAAAAGCTCATGTAAAGCCCGAGAGTGTAATAACAGTGTCAGAAGAACCCGCAGGTGAAGATCACTGTAATTTGTCTCCATATTGTCACATCCAGGCAGAAGGGCATTTCCATATTTTCCCTGTATGCTACCAAATATCTTGGATAAGCCTGGAGAAGTTGACAGGCTGTAGAGTGATTCATCCCATATATATATATATATATATATATATATATATTCCCATATGAATATATATAAATATATATGTGTATATGTATATATATATATATATATATATGTATATATAGATATATATATAGTGTTTATAATAGGCATAACTCTGTGCTTAGTTAACTAAGAAATAAAAGGCATAATATGGTTCTTGACCCTAAAACTATTTATTGTATTTGGGAAGATAAGATAAACTCATTATAGTTAGGAAAATGTAAAAGTCAATGAGAAGGTGGTAAAAATTGTATGAGTAGCGGGACAGAAGTCTGGTCTATCTCCTTCAAACTTACCCTTTTCCGCCATACTTTTCTGCCTTAGCTAAACTCCACACTTGATGCGGTTGGCTTGTGTAAAACTCCGAAGTCAATCAGAAATCAGAATCGATAAAGTCAGATTTGACTTCGACCGTTGATTTTTACCATTTACATATCAGCAATTATGCAGCCACCAAAAATTTTGATTAAAATGCTTTCACGTTTGGGGTGCCTGTGGGGCTCAGTCAGTTAAGCATCCAACTTCAGCTCAGATAATGATCTCACAGATGGTCAGTTCAAGCCCCGCATCGGGCTCTGTGCTGACAGCTCAGAACCTGGAGCTGCTTAGGATTCTGTGTCTCCCTTTCTCTCTGTCCCTCCTCTTCTCACACTGTGTCCCTCTCTCTCAAATAAATAAACATCAAAAAAAATTAAAATACTTTCACGCTTTACAAATGAGACTGCAAATACCTCTGTGGATTGTTTGAATGCTCTGAATTAGAGCAAACTGTCCAGTTTTGATTGGTATCTGATGTATTTCTAAGTAAAAATCGTAGTAACAATTCTTTCCTATCCATTGCTTCCACGGTAATAATTATTTTAGAATCAGCTTATTTTACAATGGTGTATTAAGTCATCATTTAAAGAATCAGTAAAGAACACCTTCTATGTATCATTTTCGGTGACGACTCTTGTTTCTACCCATTGATGTTTAGACAACTTCTCCATTTTACAACGTGACATGCATGAATGTGTCAACCTCAACTTGGAACGGGGCCCGTGACGTGTTGGCTGATCCTCAAGATATTAATAATCTACTTTCTGAAATCACAAACCATATTTACCACAAAACCATTTCTTCCTACAATCATATAGACTTCTTGTTCGGATTAGATGTGTATCATCAAGTTTACCGTGAAATCATTGACATTATCCAAGGCACTCTGTAGAGAACCACGGTCCTCTGTGTTGAAGGATCTACATAGTTTCTATTAAAACCCAATCATCTCTTCTTACTATGTGTGTTTTTCCAGTTATTTAAAGAAAGTCTGGAATGTTTCATATTTTTTTTTCACGGCCCCAAGGCTTCCATGCATTAAATCAGCGGCATTTATTACATGGGGGGAAATGGCGGGTTCGAACTCAGCCTAGGGCCGTCTGTTGAGTTTCTACATGTAACGCGCATCACTAAGAACACAATCTGAAACATTTTCAAGGGCAACGGGTGACTTTTTGAGAAAGGGGCTTTCTTTTCCTCTAAGAAATATGAATATGTATGACATAAAAAGAGTTTGAAAGAAGGTTTGCTGGTGTGCAGCTGAGTTTTCTCTACGCCGAGTGAAGAGTAGAAGAAACACTTTTGAGCCAGGTCACAAAGTTTGGGGCAGGAAAAAGAAAGGAAAGAGCACCTGGAAGCCAGGGTCATGGTCATGTTGTTGCTTCTGCCCCACTTCCAGCCACGCTGCAGAAGTAGACGGACAGATCATAAAAGCCATGGGGGGTGGGGGTGGTTATACCTCACTTCCCAGGGTGGATAGCCTGCCTTTCCAGCCAGTGTGCGTGGCAAGTAGCAATGGTTGAAGCATATTTCTAGGTAAACCAAACCGATGGTGGCCTCGCAGAATACACACTGCAACTTGGCACACGAAAGATCCAAGAGCCTCCCACATACCAAAAGAATGTCGAACCGTTCAGCAGAGCTGGGAAGGAGCCTAAGGTTTGGGATGGAGGGATGCTGTCGGTAAATGCAACACGTATCACAGGAGCCACAGACAGCGGCGAGCCATGGACATCAGCAGCCGCTGCGGGACACATCGCTTGCGGGGACTTATGCCCCAGGGGAGGCTGGACCCCTAGTCCTTCCGACTCCTGGATAATGTATAACTTCGCGGGCTTTCCTGCGAAAGTCTGCGGGAGAGCAAGACATAAAGGAGGAGTTCTGGAATTGAGTGTAAATTTACCACGTGTATACCGGGGGGGAAAGAAACAATCTATAATTGCCTGAATTGGAAAATTATGTTTCCTGCTCCAAGCAAAACGGAAGCCTGAAGGCCAAGTCAAGTTCTCTCTGAAGTTGCTAATTTTGCACTTAACACGGGCTTATGGGCTTTAAAATGCATTATACAGAAAATAAATGGAATAGGCATAGGTAGTGAGAAGAAATAAAACGCATGCACACATTACTGGAATGCAGCGAAGGCACATAACTTTAAAGGTCACAGTTAAGGCTACATACAGTTCATTCTTTCCTTTCTTTGGTATCCTTGGTGCTAAAAGAGTAGAGCCCTGAGAATAGATGCACATGTAGAGATATCTTTTTAAAGGGTTCAAGAATGTTCCTTCGAAGTTGTCAAATGACCCTTCACAGAAGACAAATGTGAGGGATAATTATGCAGAAGAATTATTCATGTTGAGATGTTAAAAATAAGTCGGAAGTTTCTGGTAACAGTCAACTGAGTAATTCAGACCTGGGACAACTGTTAAAAGCATTTATTTGAAGACAAAGGGAGGGGTGCCTGGGTGGCTCAGTCAGTTAAGCGTCTGACTTTTGGTTTTCGCCCAGGTCATGATCTCTCGGTGCTCGAGTTCGAGCCCCACATGGGCTCAGCTCTGGCACTGCAGAGCCTGCTTGGGACTCTCTCTCTCTGTCCCTCCCCCACTGGCGCTTCTCTGTCCCTCTCGGAGAGAGAGAGAGAGAGAGAGAGAGACAAGGAGAGCTAAAAATGCAGCAAAGACTTACAGGTCCAAGAAAAAGAAGCCCAGAGAAGTATACCTGGCATTTTAGATGTTTATACCCTAGCAACATCTGCTCATTCCAGGCCAAAAACCTCCAAACAATTGTAGAAATTGTAAAAATTGTAATTTAGCTTACCAAAAGGAAGTCTCTCTGATAAACCTTGATCCTCAGGCTTTGGATTGGAACCTCCAAGTTCTGTACCTTGACTACAGTCAAACTAGAAATTGATCATCCTTTCAGAAACTGTAGCCCACCTTTTGATCATGTGAAATCCTCATGTACAAAGATGATTTGGGAATACTGATGCCCTAACCACCTGTCAGAAGCAAAAGTAAATCTTCTCTGAAGGAAAATCAAGTCATCCAAGGTGCTAGAAATAATGCTAACATTTTGCAATGTTTCAAGATAGGTCAGTATACAAAAATAACTTCTGTGTTTGTATACTATACTCACATAATTGCAAAATGATATTTTAAATATACCATTTACACTATTATAAACAATATATAATAATATAATACTGAAGAATACAGATAAATATGCTCAGGTTCAAAGACAGTATTATTAAGATATCCCTTCTTCGAATTTACCTACATATTCAAAGAAATGCCAATCAAAATTCCACTAGGCTTTTTTTTTCTGGAAATTATTATACTGATTCTAAAACTTTTGTAGAATTACAATTAATTTGGAATTGACAAAATAATTTTGAAAAATGTCCAGGGACTTGCCCTACCTAAGTGAAAGACTTAAATCACATAGGTGCATTAATTAAGACAGTGTGGTGTTAGTATAAACATATCTAGATCCATGGAATGATACAGAATCCAGAGATAGACTACATCTATGCAGTCATTTGATCTTCAATCAGGTAAAAGATTGTGTTTTCCAAGGTGGATATGATTACAGAGAAAAGATGAACTTTGACCTTTACGTTACATCATACATAAAATTTAATTTGGAATGACTCTTAGACCTACACCCCAAACCCAAAACCCTACCACTTCTAGATGACAACAGAGAAGAAATCCTTTGCAATGTTGGGGTAGGGAAAACGTCTTAGATGAGATAAAGCTTGAGCAACTATAAAGAAAATTTTGATAGCTTGAATACCATGAACATTAAAATCATCTGCCTGTCAAATGACGCTTAAGATTGTGACAGACAAGCCATCAACCTGGGAAAAAATATTTACAACAAACACATCTGACAAAAGATGTTTCTCTGAACTATATAAAAACCACTCTGAAGCGAATAAGAAGAAAAGTAACCCAAGAAAATGTAAGCAAAAGACTTAAACGAATTCTTCACAAAAGACATAAAAATGGCTAGTGAAATCCGGGTATAGGAAAAGGTGTTCAACATCATTAATCATCATGGAAATGAAAATCAAACCCACCACACACCTGTTAGGATGGCCATTAGCAAAAAGTCAAAAGATACCAAATGATGCAAAGACGTACAGAAAAGAGAATCTTTACGTACATTGTTGATGGGAATGTAAATTGGTCCAGTCACTATAGAAAATCCTATGGAGGTTTCTGAAAAATTAAAAATATAATTACCATATAATCCAATAATCTCACAACTGGGCATATATCCAAAGGGAATAAAATAAAATAAATAAAATATCTCAAAGAGATGTCTGCATTTGTATGTTCATTGCAACATTATTTATAGTAGCCAAGAAATGAAAACAACCTAAATGTCTGTCGGTGGATGGATGGATGATAAAGATCCAGGGGTGCCTGGGTGGCTCAGTCAGTTAAGCATCCAACTCTTGATTTCGGCTCAGGTCACAATCTCAAGGTTTGTGAGTTCAAGCCTCACATCGGGCTCTACACTAACAGTACAGAGCCTGCTTGAGATTCTCTCTCTCTCTCTCTCTCTCTCTCTCTCTCTCTCTGTCTCTACTTTCTCCCTTTCCTCTCTCTCTCTCTCTCTCTCTGTCTCTCTGTCTCTCTCTCTCAAAAATAAAATAAACATTTTATGGGGCACCTGGGTGGCTCAGTCAGTAAAGCGTCCAACTTTGGCTCAGGTCATGATCTCATGGTTTGTGAGTTTGAGCCCTGCATTAGGCTCTGTGCTGACAGCTCAGAGCCTGGAGCCTGCCTTGGATTCTGTGTCTTCCTCTCTCTCTGCTCCTGCCCTGTTCATGCTCTGTCTCTCTCTGTCTCTCAAAAATAAATAAATAAATGTTAAAATAAAATAAAATAAACATTCTAAGAAAGATTATCTATCTATCTATCTATCTATCTATCTAGATGTATGTGTATATATATATATATATATACATATATATGCATATATATGTATATATATATGTTCATGTGCTAGCATCATGTTTATGTATAATCATCATTATCTACATAATAATTCTATATGTACATAAAATTCAGCTTTAAAAGAGAAGGAAATTCTGCCATTTGCAAGAACATGGAAACATGGATGAATCTGGAGGGCTTTATGCTAAATACAATTAGTCAGACAGAGAAAGACGAATACTGTATTATCTCATTTGTCTGTAGAATCTAAAAAAGTCAAACTCATAGTAACAGAGTGGACTGGCCACCAAAGTAGGCTTCGCCACCAGGGGGCAGGCAAAACGGGGAGATGTTGGTTAAAGGAATCAAAGTGTCAGTTATAAGATAAATAAGTTCTGGAGACCTAACGTACAGCATGGTGACTATGGTTAATTCTTGAAATTTGCTAAGAAAGTAGATCTCAAGCATTCTCACCACACACATACGCAAAAGATAACTATGTGAAGTGATAGATATGTTACTTAGCTTGATTGTGGTAATCATTCCCTTATGTATATGCATATACAATGTACATCTTTTTTGTACGATTTTTGTCAACCATACCTCATCAAAGCTGGGGGAGAAAAGGAATAGCCAATGAACCTCTGAAAAGATTTTCGGCATCATTAGTCACCAAAGAAATACAAGTTAAAGCAATCTGAGACATTGAATAGTAACTAGAGTAACAAATTAAAAGAGAAGCAATACTAAGTATTAGGAAATCTGTGGAATAACTGGAACTTTTTGACATTGCTGGCGAGAACAAAAATACCACAAGCACTTTACAAAAACAGCCCGGTGATTTCTTATAAAAGTAAAAATATACTTAAACTGTTAGGTATTAACAGTGTTACCTTACACTGTTAGGTGTTCACTCAAGAGACAAGAAAACAAGAATGCCTAAATAGTGACAACCAGCCTACGAAAATCACCATATGAAGAGTACAAGGGTGGGGGGCATCTGGGTGGCTCACCT